ATATATATATATTGCCATAATAACAGTGCAATGCAAAATTGTCAGAGGTGTAAATATTTTAAAAAATAGCTTTTGCATGGCCGCTATGTTTGAGATTTAAGTTCTTTAAGACGGCAGCATCTCACTTTGTTTTTTGCCCAGATCTGACTAATCGTTTACTCATCAGTACTGTCAGAACACAATTCTGTTCTTCTTGAATGATTCAGCTCAAGGAGTTATCTACAATAGGCAAATATTTGTTACATTTCCACAGAACCCCACCTCAAAAAATCTGAACTGTTCTTTTAAAATCTTTTAGATAAGAAATGCACATTGCCACCTCTGAGCTACAATTTTAGCTTAGTAATATTCAAACAAAATGACTTTTTGCTCTGGTTTTTTTCTGTTGTTTTTTTTTTTCGTTGCAGAGAGCAGACTTAGCAATGGCCCCTCTCACCATTACCTACACGCGTGAAAAGTTCATTGACTTCTCCAAGCCTTTCATGAGCATGGGGATCAGCATCCTGTATCGCAAACCCAACACCACCAACAGCGGCTTTTTCTCCTTTCTGAACCCCATGACTCCAGACATCTGGGTGTACATTCTCCTGGCCTACCTGGGTGTTAGCTGTGTTCTTTTTGTCATTGCCAGGTAAGTACAGTCGTTTCAGGCTATTTGTCCTTTCAGCTCTTCATTCGTCTCTCCATGAAGTTTTCAGGAGTCCCAGTAATTTACTCTGTTATTATTACAGGCTGAGGTTTGAGTACATGAGCCGATTTATCATACTGCGTTAACTGCTGGGTAGTGATCAAGACAGTTATGTCTGCKTGGGCTCTCTACAGCCCAGCAGTGGGAGGAGGAATACAAAAAAAAAAAAAGAAAGAAAAGCTCCAGTTGAGTTGCAAAGTCCCATTCAACATGTAATTTCTGGTTTCCTGTGAGATGTCTTTAGAMATGGCAAGGCAGCTTAACATGAAAATGTAGTTAAAAAAAGAATAATACACCTACTTAACATATTCAGCAGCACAAAAACACAMCTGAAATGAAATTTCATCAGCAGAAGATATTTTTAGTTGATCATAACCATTTGTATGTATTATGAAATCTGCTGTGTGTCTGTCACAACTATGGCAAAGATTACCCATTTTTTAACTTCTTCTGAATCAGATTAATATCCTTTTAGTATCAGTGTCTGCATTTCCTGCTGCTTCACATGCAAAGTGGTGCTTGAGGAAGTTCGAGAAAACAGCCGTTGGAGGAAGTTTGAGGCTCGAGAGCAAACAGCTGTGCTCTTCTATCCTCGTTTGCTGCTCTGAGATGAAACTAATTCTAAAGTGGCTTCATATAAATTTTAAAGAATCATCCTAAATTGTTGCAATCACTTGGCTAGTTAAAGGTGAATGGGTAAAGAGGTATATGCATCCCTAAATATAAAATGATTATGGACGAAAGTTCAAAGACTCTTTAAAGCAGCATGTTGACAACAAAATCAGATGTGGCCTTTTAAAAGCTCCATTCCATGAAGCCTTAAAATAACTAATTCTAATCAAATTCCCCTTTTATATTAGTTGACAAAATGTGCTTAGAACCACAATAAAAAATACAGAAACAGTGCACATTTGCACTATTGCATCAACACAAAGTCTTTCATGTGAGTAAAAAAATTCTGTATTCATTGATTTACATTTTTTTGAAAACCTTAACCACAAATACATGAAATTTTGCTATTACTGTTTTCCTGTAAAGGCAGGCAGGTAAAGGCTAAAAGCATGTGGTGTGAAACTAGAAGGGGGGTCTCTGCTGTCACTAAGTGGGAGGTCCTTGGTATGTGGGAGGAGTTTTTCAAAACATGATTGGTCTGTTTGACTTTTGTGAGATGGTTTTGATAAAGTAGTGGTTGGTCTGATTGACTATTTTGGGTGGAGTTTGAAGAAGCCATAATGATACAGTTGGATGAATGCTGGGCCGCTGGGGGGACATGTAGCATGATTATTAATTTAAGTCATAACTTGAGACAGGTAGGTACCAGCCATACAAAATTTGAAAGCTGTACATGTGGAGGGATGTGTAAAAATGTAGCTCAGTTAAAACAGCACTAACCCGCCTTTGATCGCTACTTTTGAATATGAATCATAATATTAGTCATAACATGAGATGTTAGTCGCACTAGATTTAAAGTCAATAAGTTATATTTACATGTTCACAATAATTTTACTATTACCATTACATCATCTTTTGACTTGCCCCACAAGACACGTCTGACCAATCACGGTGTTGCCAAACTCCACCTGGATCCAAGATCCTCTACCTGTATTACTAACTTGGCCAATCACAGTTAGWACAAACTCTGCCCACATAGCAAATAAACTCCCACATCTTGTCAAACTCCTCCCATACGGAAAACCCCCGCCAATCAGTTAGGACTAAGTTCACCCTTACAGACAACAAAACTCACCCCTTCTACTRCAGAGACTCCTACTTCTGCTGCTTGAATTTAACCTAAGAATGTCAGGATCCCTGTGTTTTGACACAGGAATCCTAAAGCGTCCAGTATGCTGCAGCCGAACTGTAGAAATTGGATCAGATTGTCTCAGTTTCATGACGAAAATTGTGTCATTCTGTTCGCATTGTCGACATTTCCCCACCTTCTTGTCGCAACCTGTGACTTTTTTACCTCCTTCCCTTAAGAACTTATTGTGTTATTGGACAGAAGTTTGTGGGAGTGTTTGTGCTGAAAGCACTTGGACAAGTGCATTTTGCTTCAAATACTCACTTAAAAAAAGCYTACTCGCTTCCAGAAGCTGACTGTTGTAGGCTACCTGGAAGAAGACATTTGTAAAGATAGTCAAATGATCAAAAACTCGTGGATGGAGTTAAAACAGATGTTGTGCATGGAGGRATMTGCCTGATAAAAACGTGGAGCTTTAACCGGGACAGATTCATGCACAAATAACATCGATGACGGGTCTCCGATTTTTTTTTTCGCATCGTAAACTCCAGTGGGAAGAAACCCTGTGAGGTATACCGCAGTGGGGATTGGTTTCCCAGGAGCTCAGCACTGTGTGCCTCAGGGAATTAYRAAAGGTTTGTGCGAAAACAAGTGCCAAACAACCATGTGACCGCGCATTGTCTGGTCGACTGCCGAGCTGAAGCCTTAACTGTATTATGACACACAAATTTCAAAACAGAAGTATGTAGCCCACATCATACACCATCTTTTAATTCTCATCTAAATTCTAGATTGTATTTTACAATGGTTTGTTTCCTCATTTTCCATTTTTACAGCACTTGGTCATATAATGTTTCACACAAACAGCCTTTTTTAAATATAGACTCACTCTCCAATAAGCATATTAGGACCAAAGGTCCACCATGTTGCCCAAGGTCACTTCAACATGTAGCAAAGCTGGGTATCAACTCTTCAATCATCCATTTGGGAGATGACCACTCTAAAGCAGGGCCGCCATCCTCTGAATTAACATTGTTACATTGTCTCAATAAAAATTGCACTCAAATCATTTGTGGCCCTTTTAAATGTATTTTGGCTGTGCATAAAATCTCTCCTGCTCTCTCTGCTTTTTCACTATCATATAATTGTATGGTCATGGCTTTTGCAATTTAACATTAAAGGAATGCAGAATCAGACAGAAAAAAAGCACTGAAGCAGTGGCATGACTTCACAAGCAACCAAAGCATCTCTGCTGACAGATTCCTGCTTCATTTATTATAACTGATGTTTATCAGATTTTAGCTCGATTTAATTGCTCAGAATTATTCTTTTAAAGCAAGAAACTAGCCAAATACGATTTACTGCAGTCGTTCAAAGAGTCTTCTTTGTAATATTGCATTCTACTTTAATTTATTACACATAAACCTAAAACTCATAATGCAGCATCAACAAGTAGAACTAAAACTGGAAATTTAGTACATTATATAAAAGTATTTGAAAAAATAGAGAGGTGACATTTACCATTCTTTATCTGTCCGTGGAAATACTTTTTGCTGTAAATGTGGAGCAACATTTCTGCAGATCTCMAAGTAAATGGCAGAGGTTTAGAGGAAGGCAAGATTTATGATTTCACATGGCTTTAGGAATTTTCAAACAAGACACTGTAAATTTTCTGATAATGCATGTTTCATTGGTCACCTTTGAACAAAAAGCATGTTTGAAAAAATCAATGGGATTGCCGAGAGGTGTTTAAAAACCAGGAGCTAGTGATTTTAAAGTATTTTGATATAACGTTTGATAACAGATGGGATATTTTAGATGTCTAAAATAAGTAAAACTGTTGTAAACACTATAGCCGGATCATCAATGTTATTGTTTAACTAAGTGGGAAATGAAAAAAATGTTTTCACTTRCATATCATGTGATTGAGTTGGCATAAAAGAAATGCCTTGGCAAACAAATTGTTAATATAAACAGACAACAAAYACCGGACAAGTTTAACTATGTTTAGCCTTTTGCACAATGATGACACAGCTATTCCATTCAGTAATATATGAACTTTATTTATTAGTGTATGTGGTTTTCTAGTGTTTATAGAGAAATTTCTTAAGCCATAATGCATGGATGGGCAACTTAAAAGATTATTATTTTGTTCATTCTACCAGAGGGCCACACAGTGCTGCACACTTATCCATATGTAATAAAACTGCCATTTTAAAAATATTTATGTAAATATGTGTTTATTAAACCAGCAGTGCAGTAACTTAAAATAGTTCAAGCTCAAATGCCTGTATAACAGTTGTATTCTTGTTTAATAAATATGAATACAAAACTTTTGAAGCAAATGGAAAAATAAACACTGTAGAAAGCTGAAGTGCAACAACACATGAAGCCTTAAGTGCAGGCTCCTGCGTGGATGTGGTTCTGGTAAAAAGTTGCTGTTGTTTAMATACTTGTGMCTTCAGTATAYTTCTCATATTTAGCTTTGTGCAACATGTTGTAGTGTGACTTTTATTAAAATCCTTCATGGCAGACTGTGTACTTAAGCAGACTAAACACRTAGATTTGCCTTGAAATTTTGTAAACAGATAGTTTACCTCCCAAAATCAAAACAATTTATTGATCTATTTTTTAAACTAAAATAAACACTCAGATTCTAAGAGCTGCTTTGAGTGTCTATTTTTTTAGAGAAAGGTGGGGTCTTATTGGCAGGAAGTTACATGTGGCCTGCAGGCCACCAGTTGCCCATCCCTGCAATAATGTGTTTTGTTTTTCCAAATCCAAGATGGAACTCTAAAATAACTAGATAAGATTAGTTCCTAAGTGCTGTGATTTACAAAAAAAAAATCTTTGTATATAAAAGCAGTTTCCCACACTCTTGTTTCCTGTCCTCAGATTTAGCCCGTATGAATGGTATGACGCCCATCCCTGCAACCCTGGCTCAGATGTGGTGGAAAACAACTTCACGCTCCTCAACAGCTTCTGGTTCGGAGTCGGTTCCCTAATGCAACAAGGTACGACGACTTTGTCGCAGACAGAAACAGTAATCATCTTACCCTTTTCTATTTCTTTGCCTTTTTTTTAAACTGACAAGCTCCGTGATTCTCATCCCATGACTGTTTCATGAGATGTTTACTTGTCAAGAACAACCGCAGAGCTCTGACTCGCATGACAAATGATGGCTGTTGTCACCTGCTGCTTAAAATAATAAAAAAGAAGAGTCTGTGCCAGACTTTTTTGTCGAAATTGGCGGATAAGGATAAAAAACAATGTAGCATTTGTTTCCCTCTAACACTGTAGCTGGCCCTGCTCCGTAGTTTCCCGAGTGTTGAGACAAAAAGGGTAAGTTGAGGAATATRCCTGACAAATGCCAGCTGTCAGCCCTGCTAGATCTGGCTGGTGTGATGTTTTCAGCACGGCATGGCTTGCACTGAAAGTGACCCAGAGTGGAGAATTTATGTGTCTGACTCACAGTGACCTTTCTGTTACTGTATGGCTGTTTCTTATAAGCAGGTATCATTTAATAATAATACTTTAACAAAAAAGAGGATTTTGTAAGCTCAAAAGTCTAACATGCTGTGAAAATTTGAATTAGAGAGGTGACTTTTTACAAAAAAAAAAAAAAACCCTAAAGGATGTGAATTTCTTCCCATTTGCAGGTGTCCCTTAAAGGCATGGGTACATAAAAGAAGGGCAGAAATTTGCATAATGGAGTTAACTGTGGCAAAAGGAACGCCTGTAACAAAATGTTTAACCTCRGTGTAACAAGACAAATCAAGGAGGTTTAGTGAGACTCGGTGGATCTTTGGCTGTAAGGATTGCAAACACATTCRGCAATTCATTAAGCACAGAAACTCGGCGGCACTCTTGTGAAACTGCACAGCAGCTCTGCCAATTTGCCGGTGCCGGCAGAGAAATATGAGAGGAGCAGCGGTACAGCTGGGAGAGGGGAGAGGGAGAGAATCAAATCAAAATGAGCTAGTTAGTCACCTATATTATTAAACTAAACAGGGGAGAATTTTCCATTATCATTCAAAACGTGGCACACAGCTTTTTTTTTTTTTTTTGTAAATGCCTGAGCTCCACTGTTTCTCTCATTTACAGTCATTGACTGAAGCTGCTGCTGCTAATCAACTCTTATTCATAGTTCCCTGAAAACAATTTCCACATTTGAATCTCAAAGTTGAAAATAAGGGTCACGAATGAGTTTGAATCCATTTGTTAATGTTATTACGTGGTATTTTAAACCCATTACATGCTCTCAGAAACATTCAAACCAGTATGAAATATCTTGATAATTAACATACCGTATGATAATTAACATGCGATGTATCAAAGTTTAAAATGACACCAAATCTGGCTTCGAGTGACACCCGTTTGTGCTGCAGAGCCTTGTAACACATGCTGCACAGCGGTATCTGCAGCGAGGTGTATATTTTGTCTGTGTCACATTAACAGACATCCCTTGCTTGTCTGCCAAAYACGGTGACAGCAGCTAAGGCAGAAGCCATTTCCTTGACATGTTTAAAATGCAAATGGACGTGTTTGAGGAAACCCAAAATAAGAAGGAGAAAAAAAAGTCTACCAGCTTGTCTGTGGGAGGGAGGTGTCAGAGACAACAAAAAGAACATAAAATATGAGGAGGTGCAAAAGCRCTCTGTGTACTTCAAATAGAATCCTGGAGGTTTCAGACTTTCTATCACAACATACACACATGTGATTGTTTGCTATAAATTGGTTTCCTTGTATAATTAGAATTTTTTTTTTAAAAGTTACGTACTCAAAGAGGTCAAAAAAAATCAGGACAATCTTTTCCTTTATAACCATGTTTTGTATTGTAATGCTCATACATTTTTTATTGTTTTCTGGTTGGGTTTATACTCTTCATAATAAACCATTTTGTAGTTACAAGCAGAAGCGGATCGTAACTCTTCCGGGTCCACAGGTCAACTGAGAAAACGCTGAGCTTGCTATGAAAATGCCATTGGATTTGTGCAAATTCAAGAAGCTCAAAAAGCTGATTCATGAAAACCTTTAAAACAAACCAGTTTAGAGCAGTTTCATAGGGTCTGTATAACAGCATAAAATTACAGCTTGAATTAGTTCAATTCCTTTGGCATTTCCTTAGTGTTTTTCCTGAAAAATGTGTGAGCTTGGTTATTTTTTTTAACTATGATATGGTCTATTCCCTTGCAGAAATATGCTAATATTGTTGTGTGGCAGCTTTTCCCCCGAGCAATAAAAAAGTTACCTGTGTTAGTGCATTGTGTGCATTAAAGATTTTGTTCTGAAAGACAATACATTTTTATTACTTTTTTWAATTTTATTTTATCAAATATAAATTCTGAAAGACCCTTTTGTTGGTTAGACAATGTAGCAGTTATTGTAGTAAGACAACCATGAACAAACTTTTTTCTCTTGGCCTACAAATGATAAGCCTTTCTTCAGAAGCACACTGCATCGACACCATTTTGTTTCCCTGGAACTATATGACTGATCTGCTTTCTGTATTTATCGGAGTGTTCTGATGCAGTGCCGTATACTGCTCCCCGCTGACAACTGTGCTTTATTGTGTGGGATTCAATTGAGTTAYCCGTGGCTTCACTTCATTTTTTATTGTGACCAGGGAATGAATGTGGATCTTGGCTCTCTRAAGTCATGGTGAATTAAGGGATGCTTCTGTCTTCTCTTGTTTGTAACCATGTAGAGTCTTTGTCAAACCACAAAGGACAAATCCAATCAAATTTGGTGGAAGAGGTTAAAGAGCTGACCACCGTGCCCCCCTTCTGTGGGCTTGTTACTTCTCAGAATTGCCCTCATAAATCTTCTCAGTAAAGTAACAGAGTGCACAAAGCACAAGGGTATTTTAAAGGTTGTCAGAGATGAGATATAAAGTAAYTCTTACACCAGTCAGAGAGCCATTGTAAACATTGTATTACTCAACAGATGCCCACTCAAAGTCAAGGCTGATGCAGAGGCATTCTGTCAGTGCAGAAATGTATCTTCATCTTCCATTTTTTTCAGTATTTGCACAGGTTGTGATTATTTGTTTTTGAAGTAGCATAATGTGCACATCCAGTAGGGCAGCTCTACGGAACAACATCGCATGGCAAACGAGAAAAATAAAATAGGTGATATTTTACAGCTTATACAGGGTGTATCAGAAAAAAAAATGATACTCTCAGAAAAATCACCATAAAATTAACATAGATAATAATTTTGAAAATGTGGGTGTAACCTTTGGTAGAGGGGACCATTCTGCTTCGAATGACACCAAAATCTTAGTGAACGCTTCACGCTCCAGTGAGCAGGGATGGTTGCAAATTCACAAAATTCATGTCCTTTGCACAAGGAAATGTGAGGGTTAAAATACGATCTGTCACATAAAATTAAAAGCTTAGATGGTGTTTTACACGCATGCCAAGGCGTTTTTAAAATAATTAACCCTTTCATGTCCTAACGTCGAAACAAAAATATCTCATTTTTGAGTGGACCATAACCAAGGGTTAACAAACACATGAGAAGTGGCCATGGACAAGGCAATCCAGCCAACTAACATTACATGTAATGCACTGCACATGTACATTACATGTAATGTACTGTATTCATTGGGTATTACATGTAATTATTTCATAACCTGGTACAGGATTGTGTGATTGTGTGCTCATTTTCTTTCATTAAAATAACATGATCACAAACATCACCTTATATCGTGTCTCATTTGAAGCAGAATGATCCCCTCTACCAAAGGTTACGCCCACATGTTCAAAATTATTATCTTTGTTAATTTTATGACGATTTTTCTGAGATTATCAATTTTTCCTGATACACCCTGTATTATTTTCATTTTGTTTGGTTGTTTCAAATAATAAGACTAATTGAAACTGGTTCTGGTAAGTACACAGCTGGTAAGTATCATTACAGATGTACTGACCAGTCAGCCCTGGTAAAATAATTTTTATTGGATATTTTTAAGAATACTTTTCAGAGTATTTTTGAGCTTTAATTACATAGTCTAATTTATGTGAAATCATGTTTTAGAAATGCTTAAAAGCACATATACAATAAGAGTTGGATACCCCTCCTCTCACACAGTCCATTCAAGTTGTACAGATTGTCCGTGAATTACACGGATTTCCCTCCATTTTGTATACAGAGATATAGGGCAGTCTTACTTTTTTGTCATTTTTAAAAAAAAAACTTTGCTTCAAATTCATTTAGTTCTCTGAGCCGGTGGGCTGCATAGAAATAAGTTGCCACCTCCCCGTCCTCCTTTCTCTGTTCCTTTGGGCTACCCCACATTCTTTCTTTCCCTGCGGCCGCTTGTCCACTCCTACACTCTTGTTGTATCATGTGTGCATACTACAGATTTTTTTTGATAAAATTATGGATTTCTGAGGGTCAACATACATGTTCAAAGGGGTGAACATGTATGTAGTGAGACCACACCAGCTTTCCCAATGAGCATTAAAGGTATAGTGGGTAAAATAAAAAAAAAATACAAAAATAGATGAGTTGACAATAAAAGTTTATAGTATTATTTAAATTATTGAATAATTGCAATCTACTGTATGCTATACTTGAAAGAACAAAACTGGATGTTTTATTGAATAATATGCAAAATTTGTTATAATTTAAATACTTTGCTTTACTGTTAATCACTGCTTTATCTGTGTTTTGAATAATATTTTACACCAGTATTTTTTGTCCTAAAAATGAGAACATGATGGTTATGTTGCATCAGGCTTGAAAGAAAAAAAACAAGCAAATGTTGCTCCAGGTCTAAAAGAGAAATATACACAAGGTTACATCAATTCTTATTGGGTTAAAGTCTAACAGCTCATGAAATAAATAAGTGTATATGTAGAAGCCTAAAAAATTGCTTTACCAATGTGGTCTGGGTGTTTTGCTCAGATTTTGGCTAAGGCGCCATTCTGGCTTCTGTTTCCATTCCCCCACTCAAAGTACCTCGTTTGAAACCAGGGGCTCTGCCAAAAGACATTTGCAAGCCAATTAACAAACCAATGAGCAATTATGTTTCTGCATTTGTTCAACTCAGTTACTGTACTGGTCTGAGTTGTTTGACATGCTGTATTTCTCTCTCTTTTTTGTTTCATCTAGGCTCAGAATTGATGCCCAAAGCCCTGTCAACCAGGATCATCGGTGGAATCTGGTGGTTCTTCACACTCATCATCATATCTTCTTACACAGCTAATTTAGCTGCTTTTCTCACTGTGGAGAGAATGGACTCACCTGTGGACTCAGCTGATGACATTGCCAAACAGACCAAGATTGAGTATGGTGTGGTTAGAGACGGRGCAACAATGGCTTTCTTTAAGGTAAAAAACAAAAACCTCAAACGAATAAATGTATGAATTCATAAATGTTGTAAAAGTTTAGCAAGTAAAGTTTATCTGGGTTGTGGAAATGTATCTTTTTATGTGCCAACGTGTTCCTGATCATTTCTTATTTCAAAGTTTCTTTTGCCTCCAGATTCTTGCATTTTTCTTTCTATATTCTGAACTTTGCTGTAGATTTTGTTGGTTCTCTGTGTTGAATAATACAAATAACAGAGTTACAGTTTCTCAGAATAAGAAAATGAAAACACTGCATCATTATTATTGAAGAAAATCTAAGTTTATAAAATTCAATAGAATAAAAAGTGGGGGGTGATCCTCGAGGGCATTTGTCTGTTCTAGTTTCTATGCTACTGTATTTTGTAGCTCAGCTCACAAATATAAGCTTGAATTCTGTATAACACATTTACTACTAATAACACTTTTCCTCTTTTTTAATGTAATGCTCATTTAAAAATGGGTTTAATATCCTGTAATTCCACTGCTTGGTGTGTACTCATCAAGATTTTGCAACCGTATATTCAAGAAAAACAATGTGAAATTTTATAATATAACAGAAAAATAAATTAAATAGTAAAAAATGTCTGAATTAATCCATAAAATGTTTAATATTACATGCATATTGCTTGCTTTTTTATGCCAGAGTTTTAATATAAATCCTAAAACTAAAGGTTATATTAAGTGTTCATATAGTATATGCTTATGTTGACACTCACTACCACCAGATTTTGTTTGTAAAAACTTAATGAGTTATTGCCATCTTGGTTACAAATAATAGAGCCATAGGTAAAAGGTTAAACAGTTCAGAAATACTGCTGCCTTCTATGTTCCATGGTCTGCTTAATAAACTGAAAGCAGAATAAAACTGTTGGTCTGCCAAATCAGTATTAGCAATTTATAAACCTAAACACTGTCCCATGGGTCGGAGGAGAAAAACTATTTGTTCTAGTTTAAATGCACAGTTCAAAAGCTGACATTAGTATTAATGCTGGAGTTAACCTACACCTCTTCAAATAGACCTTTGATGCCGAACACTTAAAACTACTTTTCAAGGAGCCTATTATGTCTTACAAATGCAGTCATTTACAGGGAAWACTTTAGTTAAGAAAAGTTTTAAAAAATGGTCTGTACTAAATTGGTCTCCAAATCTGCATYAATAAGTGTCAGCTATTTTACAAACACATTTTTTGTTTTGACATTGAACAGAGAAATATTTCACCTTTTTATACAGTTTGAATGTGAATTTTATATTTCTTTATTATAAATAATATTTTTATCACCATTTATTCACCTTTTACACTGTTTCAGCTTATGAAAAACCAAAGCTGTTGCTAATCTCAGATTCCAAAAGTTACATGTAAAAATGTTTGCTCAAACATGCAAAGATAAATAACTTCTTCTGGAATGTTGTGCCAAACAAAGTTATTTTCAATCATTATTTCCTCCACAGAAAAGTGTAGTTGTGATCATAGTGTCAAGAATAAGAGACACAGGTGCCTAATTACCCATGGCTCAAGTGCCCTCTGCCAGCTTTTGCCCTTGCAGTAAGACCTAATGATGTTAATTCAGTGAGGCAGAGAAGCATGATAAATACTGGAGAGATTGGGCTGTGGATAAAGGCTTTGCAGATGTGTGCAAATGGATTTGGTTCTTAATGTGGAGGGCAAAACTATTTTTAATGCAATGAAAAATGTTGGTATTTGAACTTTAATTTAAAAAACTAGTCACCAGGAAGTTTAATTATAAAAAAAAATATTAGCCCAAGGAGAGAAAATTGTAAAAAAAAAGCTCTTTAACATGAGTATAGTTCATGATAACGACGTATCTACATAAATCCTATTAAAATGTTAACATTAATTGTTGTCCAGGAAGCTGTTCTAAAACCAAAAGATGTCCTTAAATGGAACTGTTTGTTGATGAATTTAAAGCACCTAAAGATAAATTTGAGGAACATTAAAAAAATAAACTAAACGTCAGTTCTTACAAGGCTGTTCCTGTCAACAAATTAAAAGAAACAAGGTAATAAATTCACATGATAAAATGATATCAAACCTCAGACTATTACATTATCACATGCTAGTTTTATGCAGCCAAGACTGGGTTTAACATTAGCAGAAGACTTTGTATAATAACATCTTTCACAATTTGAAATGGCTTATAGTCTTTAGACAGTAATTATCTTGGATTAGACATGGCATAAATGTGACCTCACAGAAAATTGCATGAAATACCACATAGACTGATGCAGGACTAATGSAACGCCATTCTATTATTGCTGCTTCAGTAGCACTTATGAGAATAGATGTGTGCAAATCTTCAGTTTATCGTCCTTTAATCCTGTGACAATGGAAATCTAAAGGAGTAATCATTTAAATCTATTTGGAGATTAGCTAAATTAACCATGATGTCAAGAACTATAAACGAACAAATACCTTCTGTATGATGTCTGACATTTTGTTGTATTAAAAATAACCATAAGTGTAATCTTGCATTAAAAAAAGTGCTTTTGATGGTTAGCTGTATTTCCACCATCAGCACCTAGGGCTATAGCATTTGAAAGTTATTTTATTCAAGTTCAACCTTTTTGTAGTGATAAAAGCATTGCATATGTATCGGCAGCTTTTTCCTCACCTGTAACATGGTAGATTAGGAAAATAAGCTTCAAATAGACATGTTTTTTTAACCCCCCCCCCCCCCTTTTTTTTTACAGAAATCAAAGGTTTCAACATTTGAGAAGATGTGGGCTTTTATGAGCAGCAGGCCAAGAACATCACTGGTGAAGTCCATTGAGGATGGAATTCAGAGGGTGTTGAAGTCAGACTATGCACTCATTACAGAGTCCACCACTATTGATTACATCACCAGGAGAAACTGTAATCTGACACAAGTGGGAGGGCTTATTGACAGCAAAGGCTATGGCATCGGTACTCCCCTCGGTAAGACTCGCGAATAACCCTGGAATACATTTGAGAGTATCAAGTAATGAAAAATTCAAGCCCTTTGCATTTTTTTTCTTTGAAAGATGAGGATGAGGAATTACTTTTAGATGCAGCTGCAGCAAAAAACAAAACAAAACAACAACAAAAAAATCATGTAGCTACTTGTCAGGCAGTGTGCCACAATGTGTTTATGAACCTTATTATCACAGAGTCCAGCTGGTGTTTCATCCAAAGTTAAATGGGCCTTATGTTACTTGCAGGCTCACCGTACAGAGACAAAATCACTATAGCTATCCTCAGTATGATGGAGGATGGGCTCCTGCACAGTCTGAAAGAAAAGTGGTGGAGTGGGAACAGCTGCTTAGATGAAGAGCGTCACGAGACGGGCCCCATGGGGATCCAGAACCTGGGTGGTATATTTATTGTGCTGGCTTCTGGCCTGGTGGTGTCTGTTTTTGTGGCAATCGCTGAATTCATCTACAAGCTGAGGAAAACTGCGGAACGAGAGCAGGTATATGTCCTCATAGAACATTTGTGTTTTTGTCATTTTGGCTATCACAGTAATTTGAGATCGTGAAATAAATTTATTTTWGAAATTTTAACCCTGGCTTTAACGACCAACGGCTCTTTTATCAAATTGTTTTTTTTTTCTAAATAGCCTCAACAAACTGTGCACTATTCATAGCTTTTAGCTCAAGCATGTTTTAAAGGGATTTACATGCCTTTCTTTGACTAATCCGTAAGACTTGGCCACAACATCGAAACGTTTACTCGTTTTCACTGGCATGACTGCAAATCGGAGCATAAAGAATTAATCCGTTATTAGTCATTGGAGATAGCAGAATGGCATCTGCCTTTTAATGTGGTAAATCCCAAATTTTAAGTCATTCAATGTGAGTTATGCTCTTATATTATAATTGTTTTACCCTCCTTGACACAGCATTATTTAGGAGCTAACTTTGGCTAATAACAGCTAAAATTTTGCTAAATTTGTTGCAAATAGCTGAATACAGAAGAAATTCAATTCAATTCAATTCAATTCAATTCAAACTCAATTCAAAAATACTTTATTGATCCCAGAGAGAAATTAGGTAATCAAATTAGGTAAGAGAGCAACTGTAAGAAGCATAAATAGCACAAATTAGCTGAAAAAGGTATAAAAAGGCAGAAAAAAGCAGAATAATAGCAGAAAGAAGTAGAATTTTAGCTGATATAGCAGCAAAAAGCAAAAGTTAGGATAAAATAAGCTAAAAGTAGCAGAGTCAATTTGAGAGTAGCATCCAGATGGTGAAATGGATGTAAAATTTTCAAAATTAGCAGGAAAAAACCCTATAAAACTACTAAAAAGTGATAATTTGATGTAAGCTAGGTAAAAAAGCCGAATTTTTCAGTAAAACAGCTAAAAAGTACCTGGAAACATTTTAATTAGCATAAGGATGCATAAGGAGCACAAGTTTGCTAAATTTAACAGAATTAAGTTGAAATAGCTCCAAAGAAATGTATAATTAGCTTAGAAAGCTCACTTTGGCTAATAACAGCTAAAATTTTGCTAAATTTGTGCAAATAGCTGAATACAGAAGAAAGCAACTGTAAGAAGCATAAATAGCACAAATTAGCTGAAAAAGTATAACAAAGCAGAAAAAGGCAGAAGAATAGCAGAAAGAAGTAGAATTTTAGCTGATATAGCAGCAAAAAGATAAAGTTAGCATAAAATAAGCTAAAAGTAGCAGACTCAAGTTGAGAGTAGCACCCAGATGGTGAAATGGATGTAAAAATTTCAAAATTAGCAGAAAAACCCCATAAAACTACTGAAAAGTGATCATTTGATAAAAAGATAGGTTAAACAGCCGAAGTTTTCAGTAAAACAGCTAAAAAGTAGCTGGAAACATTTTAATTAGCTTAAGGATGCATAAGGAGCACAAGTTTGCTAAATTTAGCAGAATTAAGTTGAAATAGCTCCAAAAATGGTGTAATTAGCTTAGAAAGCTAACTTCGGCTAAAAACAGCTAAAATTTTGCTAAATTTGTTGCAAATAGCTGAATACAGAAGAAAGCAACTGTAAGAAGCATAAATAGCACAAATTAGCTGAAAAAGTATAACAAAGCAGAAAAAAGCAGAATAGCAGAAAGAATTATAATTTTTAGCTAATATAGCAGCAAAAGCCAAAGTTAGCATAAAAATAAGCTAAAAGTAGCAGACTCAAATTGCTGTGTTTAGCAAAGGTTTAGTATTACTTTGTTGACAGCTACAAGCATTCCCATCAATTTGTTCTACATCCATTTTGTGCTTTTCGTCTGTTGACTCTCCGCTGTCAGAACAATTTAAAGCTAAGGCATTTACTCCCCTTCCCTTTCCCCTCTTCTCCTTTTTATGCCCCTCCCCGGATCCTCCCTTTTTGCCCAGAGGTCTTTGTGCAGCGCCATGGTGGACGAGATCAGACTGTCGTTCACCTGCGAGAGGCGGGTGAAACACAAGCCTCAGCCTCCGGTCATGGTGAAGACGGATGCAGTGATCAACATGCACGCCTACAACGACCGACGACTCCCAGGAAAGGACAACATGAGCTGCAGCACTGGGATGACCCCTGTGTTTCCATGACACTGTGCTCCCCGCAGGGCAAGAACCTCGTCAGCAACATATCGGGGACGGTGCCGGAGCCTAGAGACAATGGCATAGATGGCATCACCAGATACACCATCAACCACAGTGACATAGGAACACTCACTAAACATGGCCAACTCAAAATGGCAGCGTCAGCCACACAGGTATGACAAGTCACCACTGCATTCAAATAAAATAAGTATTTTGGAAGGTCCTGGGGGAACGGAAAGAGCATACCTGGTAAAGGAGTACACCCAAATACGAGTCAATTTCAAGTCTGATGTTTACGCCTAAAACACGAAAAAAAAATCACACTTTCCAAGAGACGCTCACTCGTTTCAACGATTGAAAATTTGATGTGAAAACAAGGCCTAACAAAATAAGAAAGGCTTTTTTTGGAAATGGCAATAACAGACTTTGATACAATTAAAAAGGGACAAGGCAGTTTTAATTGAAAATCAGTTTTGTCATAAGTTACATCTGTCAGAAGCTCATAATTTTCCTCTTGATTTAGTCCTGAATGGCCTTTGGCAGCAGAAAATAGTGTTACCTCAAACATCTGTAGGGTTATCTGGGTGTCTGCCTCACATACTGTTGGAATACTAATTTAGTATCAGCAACACTGTGACTGGGAGAACCTGCAGGATGYGGAACAGTAAATTTATGTTTGTTGTAGTTGTGTTGTGTATTTTATAAGAATATTACACATGAGCAACCATGTCTGCTGATGCAAAGTGGGCTGTGGAAACATCTACTGTGTATTAAAGAAATGAGATTTCAACAYGGACTATTTGACATGATTACGGGATTATTTTTTATAGCAAAAGTACATTTTGTTTCACATTACTTTGTACATAATTAAACCATTTTCAGTTAAATGATTGATTGCCAAAGATCTGACCATTCAACAGAGGTAAAATTGAAACAGTGTGGACCAGAACTGTTAGCCTTTTGGAGCACTTGCTTTCTGTTAAAAAAATACATTAACATTAGTGGTGGTCCTCTAGTGGACCATCCTGCAATATTTCTGTCCAGTGGAAGGTAATATGTATCCAATATAAACCGTGTTTTGGAAAAGTCAGTGTATTCTGGTTATGTAAACCACTTCGCCTGAAAATGTTGGAATATTTAAATGGAAGCTATTTAACACAAGCAGTTCAAAAACAATATAGCAGCCTTTATTAATACGTTGTATCATTTTAAACCCTCAGCCTTATGTTTTATCCTGCGTTATGGTTTGAAACTCACAATGCTAGTCCATCACTGAGCTATAGTGGACACATGCAGAACARATGCAATCTGACTCCAGAGGGAATTTTTCATCTCCATGTGTTGATTTTGTCATTGACAAATCAGCAAAAAAAACAGTTTTACTAAATGAAATCCTCTGTTTGTGATAAATCTTTCCACCTTTTTAACATCATTTTTCTTTAGAAAAATGGTGATTTGGTGCAAAAAATGGCTTTGATTTTACTGGCAGTTATGTCACAGTGAGCACAATGTCCTACAAGGTTCAGTGTATAGATGGGAGTGATTTCATCCATTTGCAGAACAGCTGTCCACTACTTTTATATGCTCCAGTCCAAACTGTGCTAACAATGCTCAGTGTTGTTGGCTATGCTTCTGTTCTGTCATCTTTATGTTCACTTACAAATGGATTTTTTTTCTCATTTTCTTCTGTCCACTTTAAATTCTTTCAAAAACAGCAAATCACATCAATATTTTAGAATTTATACTACAGCTTAAAACTGCACRTTACAAATCATGACAGAAATAGCAGGGTGTTCTTATATTTTATTTATTTGTTTTATTTTATGTCAGTTAGTGACACAAACACCATTGTGACTTTGCTTTGCATTCAGTTTGTGTTTGCAGCTTAAAGTGTTCTGCATAAAATGAGATCAGTTCTATGAAAAAACGTTATTTAATAACACATCTATTAAACAGATGGTTAAGTAGAGACGATTATTCAAAAATTGTATTTTAAAGAGACAAGGCTGTGGGAAGTAGGGGTGCCACAGCACCCCCTGATGGATGTCCGTAGTCAGATAAGACAACATGCACTGCCAGTGTGCGTTTCACTGCTTACATTTGGTACTTGTATTGATCCTCATATGAGATTTCAGGATCGTGCAAATTCATATTTTCACAGCACCCCTTCAGCTCAAACACATTTACACAGCTGTTTAAGAGATTACTCTAAAAATACTGACCATTYATTTGAACATCTTGTTCATCAGTTTGTGCTAACATATCTAAAACCTGTCTGTGCTCATTTAAAACCTATAGGAAATGTTTGACAAACGCTTGATTTAATGCTGCTCTGCATCAAGTCAAGTATTTGTGT